GAGTGATCTCTTTCCAGTGCCTGGCACCACTGGGATGAGGAAGGGTTATCTGGCTGCCAGGTTTACAGGAAGAAAATGATGCATCTGCTCAGGATAACTCATGTGCTAGTTTTCAAATTTCCACTGAAAGAGGGAGGAGTGGTTTTGTCATAGTGCATTTAGACTCATTCTGGCCAGCAGCCCTGGTCTTTTCTTAGATGAGCCCTGAGAATACAAAAACAGTGTTTCAGCAGGCAAGTCATCTGCTGCGTTTTCTCACTGTGAGAGATATTAAGTCACTTGCCTAATTAATATGGGTGATTGCTGAGATACCTAAGTGCAGTTGAAGCAGAAAAAGATTACGTTACATCTTCTTGGTTTATCTTAATCACTTTAAAAGGGTTTAATGTCTTTTCCTTACTCAATGATGCAGGTGACCCATGACTCCCAGCACATAAAAAAGAAAAAAATGGAAAGCAGAAAGCATCCTAGAACATGGAACATTTCTGGAGCATTACAAAGGATGCCTCTCTGCACAGAAAGTAAAGCTGGTTGCTAAGACTAAATGAAAATTGAATTAAAATAGAACTTATGATTACAAAACAAATCTCTGGGGGTTTTGTACTCCTATCTACGAGTTTCTCTTTTGTTATGCCAATCAAACATCAGTTATGTTTTTAGTAACTTCTTTCTCTTAGCTAATACTTTCCAGCATTTTACTACCTTCCCTCTGCCTTTTGCTTACTCCCTCTTTCCTGATCTTTGTTCAGCATCTCTACTTCCCCTCCTTTCAAACTCCTCTTGGTTCTCTGCATGACTAGAGATAATTCCACCTGGAAAAGAATCCGTATCTACCTCTCTGAGGACAAAATAAGCATTGAACTACTTTAGTTACGTCTTTAATAAGTGCTTCACTGGTCCTTCCATCGCTTATTACTGCAGGAAAATATAATGATCAGACACTTGGTGTCTTCTTTGGGCATCAACCTGTCAAGGCACTGGCAAAATAGAATTCTAATGCTATATAAGTAACTTCTTTGTTGCTCAGTTTTACAGTGCTTTTGTTGCAATCTTTAAAAAAGCCATACTGAATCTAAAGTTACTTATTTCTGCAGGAGGGGACAAGCCAAAGCTGTCCATCACATTTTACAGCTGCAGTGATTAAAATAACATTCTAGCTAAAGTACCCCAGCAAAATTGAGGTGACAGTTTATGACCAAAAAATCAAATGTGACTCTTGCTGTTGTGGTTCTATCTGAAAGACACAAGAGACATGTCACTCTTGCAGAAGACATCCTTGCTTCTCCACAAGAGTCCCTCAACACCATTAATAGCAACAGGAACCTGGAAACAAGAGAGTGAATGGAAGAGCAAAGTTTGATATTGCTCAATGCACTACATTTGCTTGGTGCTGTGCACGTTCTTACAGGTTAGATACCACCACACTAGTATTTTCCTAAGTGCTTTCCTAAGCTTATATTATTCTATCCCAAGTTGTTTGTGAAATAGCTTCTAAAATAGTGCTCTAGGTGCAAGACACAGAAAGATAAAAGCAGATCTACCCTGTCTTCCAAGACAGAACTAGTTTACAAAGGCATCCTTGATCCTTTAGTACTGCAACTCATGCCATTTTACAAAAGATCAATCATCACAAGCAGAAAAAGCAAGAAAAAGGAGGAAATATGAGAAACATAGAGACAGTAAGGTCCATTGGAAATAACTGTTGCTTCTGGAGTGTCCAGAAGCAGAGACATCTGGAACCCAAAAGACTCTTTCACAGCAAATTGCAAATAGCCCATATATACAAAAAGGCATTGGAACATAGAGAAAAGTCAGCAAAAAAAAGCAAAATTAGAAGCAAAATATTTATTTGATTAACCCCAGGATATGTGTGCAATTAAATTTTATGATGAACTTTCAAGATTTTCCCATACAGATTTCAAGTCAACTGACCTTCTTTCTGTCCTAACTCTTGTTATTTCCTGCTAGTTATCACAAAATAGCCATATCCTTGGCATCATTCAAAGAGATTTCCTACTTCTTTCCACACAACACAAGAAAAGAACAAACAGATTCTTCTGGGTTTAGTGACAATTAAATGATGCAGCTGCCTTCACGGTGGCACAGGCTAAAGTAGAAGTGTGTGACTGCTGTTCCCTTGGTGTTTGGAGCAGTCTTGTTTGCCTCATGCTTATCTTTGAAAGCAGGAACATCTTAAAATAAAAGCTCAGAGGGGCCAGTAGGGAACTAGCTGGCAATACTCTAGTTTTGAAAACATCTTGTGAACCAGGTTACTCTCACTGAAGAGGATGACTTAGATTTGTAAAGTTAGGTATAAGGTCAAGTGCTCAGATGCGTCAAACTTACAATGCCGGCACTGACTGCCTTAAGTACAACGTGTGTATTCACTTAAGGGCAGGGTGGGGCTCGATGTCTTTTGGGGTTTAATCATCAGTCAAGAAATTAGGAATTTGAGGGAGGGACAGCAGATCAGGACCCAGCCCTGGCAATATACTGTAGATTAAATGTGTCTCAATAGTCAAAAGAAGGGGAATTATCTTAGGATGCTTCCTTTTCACTGAACCCTGGCAGAAGGGAAGGCACTGAGAGAAGACATGCAAGTGGTCACAGAACTTCACAACAAGGAGGTTCCCGACGTAGAGAAAATCATAGAAAATAGAGGAAATAGAAGTTACTGCCTTTAGTTAGGGAGCATGAATTTGTGACCTGCCCTGGTTAAAATTCATGATTTAATGGCCTCCTTTAGGAAATAATTGTTTATTTTCTTGTATTTATGTGGTTTTTTTGTACCAAACTCTCCAAACCTCCCACTACTGTTCTCACTGATACACAGGTCAAGAAGAACTGGTACAGTCCTTCTAATCTTATTTCTCTCTTTCATTCCCACTCTTCCCATCTTCTGCTTCTTACACAAATAATCCTACTATCCATTTTCAGCATCTGCATGATCAGAACAACCAGGTACTATTTACATGTCAGTGCATTGAACAAATCAAAAAGCAGTGGCAGCCAGCCCATTAGACAGTTACCGTACTCCAGGATCTATACCAGCTCCCATTAGTTTTGCAAATGAGACTTTGACTGCTTTGACTTACAATTCAGGGCAAGTAACACACTAATGGTGGAAAATATACTGCACATACAGTGGCGCCAGGGCAGCGAACACACACAATATCGAGGAATAAAAACACAGTTTGTCACTGATCCTGTGACTGTAGCTGTGCTTCTGTTTAGCACAACTGCCTGTGTTCCAGCCAGAGTCACCTGTCCCACACAGCCCCATTTTGTGTTGTGCAGTGTGACCACTCCCCACGCACAGAGGCAGAGCAGTGCTCCTTGCGCTGCTTCTCCAAAACAACAATAGGGACAGGAAGGACCAGTGAAGGGAGATTCCCAATGGCAGTATCTTTATTTCTCCCTGATGAAGGGTCAGAGCACAGCAGAGATGTTGCAGGGTCACTGGCATACTGAAGACCACACAACCAAAAAGGGACACTCTTGCAAGGTGCCGAGAAGGGACAGGACTGCTTGACACCTGCTGTATGTAATTAAGTATCTCAGATTTTAACAGCCAGATTTTCTGCTAAGCTTTGGGACAGCCAAGAATCAGGTCATACCTGCTGATATTAATTTTACAACTGCAATGCAATCCAATCCGAGTGTTCAGATTGGGAACCTCTTTCCCATTCTGTCAGAGCTGGATTTGCTAATCTCCTGGTAATAATGCCAGGCACATCCTCTCCTACTGATTCCTGGACAGAGAGTATATGTGTCATTTATATTTATTCATGAAGATACTCATCATGTCAGACAAAGTTGCCACAGACAAGCATGCATGTAGATATATCGTGTATCCAAAAACATGACTTGGATTCTGTCCTATATAAATTAAAAATATCAACTGAGGTGGGAAGATTGTGTTTAAACTCACATTTTAAAGACACCTAGTACTTTTGCTCTTCATCAACTACTTTAAATATCTTCCACAAAAGCAGTTTGCCTTACTGTCCATACATTGCAAGGTGGAACACACTTGTGTTAAAGTCAGACAGGGGAAGCAACAGCCCTCAGAGAAAAGTTTGGCTACCCAATATTCACCTTTCTAAAAAACGAACTGTCATTTGACTAAGGGACAGAAACGTCTAACTGAGAAATCAAAAACAACCGAAAGTTAAATTTTAACCAAGTTAAGTACTTTAAGAAAGAAATGAATCCTACAATGTAGTAATTCCCTCTTCCCCACATGGGAGGGGAAAAAAAAAGAAAGACGTGTGTCCCGTAGGACTCAATGACAGCTCTTCAAGGCTTGAACTAGGCAAGCTGTCAGCCTCCTGAAGAGAGATGGAAAACTGTCTAAACCGTGTTGCGGCGGCTTCTGTGGGCGGTGGCTTTGATGCAGGCGTCGAGACCCGTGTGCGAGCGGCGGGCGCACCTTTGGAGCCGCAGAAGTTTTTCCACGCGGGAACAAACCTCCCGGACCGCGACCCACGTCTCTCGTCACGGCGGTGCCACGGCCGGCCGCGGCTCACTGCACCGCCCGCTGCCCCACGCTCTGCCCTGAAAGCCCCGTGAGGGCCGTGGGGCTGGAGAGAGGCACGAAGGAGAGATGAGGAGACGTCCCCTCCTCCCCTAAATTCGCGGTCCTGCGGCCTTTCTGTGCCCAGAGGCAAGAGGGGCCGGGGTGGGCGCCCATCCCGGGGCTCCGGTGCGCGGCGCTGCGGGCGGACAAGCGGGAGAGCCTGCACGGCGGCCGGGGCGTGGGGAAAGTGGACGGGGAGAAGCGGAAAATAAATAACTAAACACAAAACTCTCCTGTTGAAGGCGGACACATTGTGGCACAGTTTTCCTGCGGCGGCGGGCCCGGTCCGACAGTCCCGGTGCTCGGCGCCCGCCCCCCAGCGCCCCGCCCGGAGCGGGCCCCTCGCTCCCCCGAGCGCCCCGGCACCGCTGCAGCACGGCGGAGCGCCCCCGGCCCGGCCCTGCACGCCGGCCCCGCTCACCTCATGGCCCAGCTCCGCGGGCGCCGCCCGCTCCCCCAGCGCCGGGCCGGGGAGCGCGGCGGCGGCAGTGGCGGCAGCGACGGCTCCTCCCGTCCCCGCGGCGGTGCCCGGCCCGGGGAGACGCCTGGCGGCGGGGCGGCGGCGAGCGGGCCGGGGGAGGGCCGGGACCGGGGGCGGCCGCGCCGCGTCCCCTCCCCGCTCCGCCCCTGCGGAGCGCCGGGGCACGCAGGGTGGGGGGAGCGCGGGGGCGGCCCAGGGGTGCAGCTCCGCCGCCGCTGGTGCCCGAGCGCTCGCTCTGCGGCGGCGCTACCGGGAAGCTTGTTCGCCGGGGAGTGCGGGCGCCGCGGCTGCCCGGCCGCTGACACTGCCTCTGCCGTGGCCGCCGAGTTGTCCTTGCGTGTGAGGATCCACAGAACCTCTTGACCTGCCCCGCTGGTGGTTAACAACTTCCCAGGAGGGCACCTCACAGCATTTAGAATGTTCTGCGCACACGTCCCTGTTTTGCTTCCTACACCTGGGGTTCAGCTGCAGACTCGCAGCCCAGCAGTATGTGCGCATCACCTGAAGCAACCAGTGGCTGTTTCTTGTGCTGTCACGGGTCAACCCTGAGGAGATGATTCCACCTTCTCCGTTACCAACATCCAAGCTGGATGGGACTTTGAGAAACCTGACCTAGTGAAAGATTTCCTTGCTCATGGCAGGAGTGGGATTGGATTAGATGATCTAGAAGGCCCCTTCCAACTCAAACTACTCTGTCATTCTACGAGCCAGAGTGGACTGCACTGGGTGATTCAAATGTTGGCTCCTCATGCTATAAATGAGTAAATTTTGCAAAAGTTCGACACCATTGGGGTTCAGTAGAGAAGGGGAGTTCAGATGGGCGTCACTAGTGCAGGGTGTGCAATGTGCAAAAGGTGACCAGCAGCGTCCTTCCCCGCGTTTCTCCAGCCGGATTGCCGTGGGCTAACCTGCCCTCTTGTGCCTGCAGCGCCCGCTCCCTCCGGCACCTCCGCGCAGCTCTGCCCTGCCCGCACACAGCCAGGAGCTGCAGACCCCCGTACAACCCCCGTGCGTGCAGAGCTGGCCACCCTGCGGCCCTACGTGCTGCCGGGGACAGCTGCTGCTGGGAACACTGACCCAGCAAGGACACGGTGGTGCTGCCATGTAGCACAGATGTACCTTTGTGCGGGGGACTGCCCCACCTGAGGAACTGGCCCGTGAACGGACAACTAACTACACACGGCAGGGAAGGCACATTTTGTCAGTCATGTCTGGTACTGTTCCCAGTAAACCGGCAGGAAAGGACGATTACAAAGCAAACCGAGACTACTTAGCGTGTAGCTCCAGCCCCTGACCTCCAGGAGGGGCTCCAAAAGAGGATGCTGAGGGGGATTTTGCACAGGCAGAAATTCCCAGGGGCAGGTAACTCTTTTGAAACTGACAAGCCTCAGGAACAGCTGCTTTGGCTCTATTACTTGCTGAGACATCCATTCGTTTGTGAGGAAAGACTAACATGAGCCAAAATAAATTTATTTAAGTACTGTAGTAACTACCTTTCAAAATAAGGAAAGTAAGGAAATATTGTTCCAAGAACATTATCAAAGCCCTTGCAAAAGTTATTATGATGCTCTTAACATCCTTCTCATGACCTTGGTGTGGGACAGCATTACTTTTCAACCATAAACCTCCCAGGTTTTGATGGGTTGGATTGGATTGTGTAAAAGGGGTCAGAATTTCCATGTCATTCACTGCACTAGTAACTTCTCTCTTGATTCTAGCAGCCTGAAATCAGCAATTCCAGCATATGGAAAACATGTTTTAATGCTTTACTGTTGCTTAGGTTCATCCTTCAGCATGGCTAGGGCACAATACCTGTAAATAGATAGGAATTAATTCCTTATTTCTAAGCCACTGGTCTCCATTTACTTGATGACTTGCCTGTTTGTTACTCAGTTTCCAAATCCACTGTTCCTTCTTGACCTTATTCTTCTGACTGAGAAGAGGTGGAATCTGAAGGCTATTCCTCAGCAACAGGCTGGTCAGTCTCTTCTTCCTCTTCAACTGGTTGGTCATCAGCATCTGCCTCACCAGACACCTGGGGAGCTGCATCTGTTGCACTGGGCTCTTCAGCAGGTGCCTCTGTCGGAGCAGGTGGGGGTGGCCGGCTAAACTCATCTAAGCGTTTTTCCACCACCGTACGAATCAAGGCTGAAACAGAAATAGCCACCACTTACAACCACAGAGGAAAAACCCTATAATTTGAGATTATTACTTTTTTATCTATATTACTGACACATAAATCCTTAGATAGGGTAAGAACCCTGAAATAACTCTAAAAATTAAGAAATACTTAAGGACTGGAACAAGACAATGGTACCTGGTTAAAAATTTAAACAGAATTAACAATAATATGATAGATATTCTCATCAATATTGTATCCTGAAGCACCATTCTCCTTAGAATGTTTACTCAGTAGTCACATACAATATTTTTTTCTTAAAAGAAGAGAATTTTCCCTTCCTTCTGAAGAGCTACATGAAGAAGTGATCTTCGAGTGTACATAGTGGTACATGTATCGACATAAAATACCTAACACACCAGCTGTAATTGTTCAAATCATATTATACCTTCACAAATAAAATTCAGGGTCCTGATTAAACTAAAAATAAACCAAAGGAAGCAAACACAACTGTAATATAAACCCAAAATCTCAGCAAGAGGAAAACTATAGGAATGAAGATGTAATGAAAGTGTAACAAGTGGTTTGATCTAGGAGCACACTGCTGGGCACACATACACCATGCTTTTGTGTTTCTACACAAGACAGAATTTTTCAGGTGTTTCAAATACAGCCTCTGAACAAATAAAAGAGCCCAAATATTTAGCTTGAACTAGCCCAAAGAAGACCAATATTTCAACCTATTTCAAACACAAGGACATGATTATTGACTGACAAGGAGACAAGCCCTTGTTTTGATGAAAAAATCGGTCACCTCACTTCCCAGTCAACCATGGCTTGCCATCATCCTCTTTTTGTGTAGGAGAATAATCCATAGCTCTGGAAGATTACACAAGCAAATTAAGACACTTTCATGGTATACACATGGCAGTACACAAGACGGGCTTTTCTGTTCCCACTGGCACAATCAGGTGCACTACAGAGAACACTACAGCAGTGGTGGCTATGTAACACAGAGGAAGTAGAAGCTTTATAGCAGAAAAAAATAATTGTGTTCTTTAACCATTCTGTTCCTGACATATGTGTAGTATTTCCCAGTGTTAACAAACCTCAAACAGTATAAAGTCAGAAGAGAGTGGATAGTGCAGCATGACTGACACTTCTATTGTTTCAGCTGAAAATCAGTTACCTAGTGGTATGTACTAGTAGTTTTCCAAAATTAAACATGTTAATATAGTAAAAAAACAAACCAAACCAACTAACAAGCACAAACAAACAAAACCCCCAACACAAAAAGCCATGGGTACTTGGAGATTTTCCTAAAATGACACTTCCTACCTTAACCAATGATAACCATATAAATGTGACATTTGTTCTGACCAGCAAAAAAAACAACCAAGAATACCAGGCAGATTACATTCCAGGATTTGGTAACTTACAGTCAAGCATCGTCCTTCCCAGAACCTTCTTCTGTAGTGTTTCTTCCACTTCTGACATCAGCCATGGAAGGAATTCTGTCTCTATATCTGTAAGAATTTAGCAGGAAGAAACAAAGGGAAAATGTCACTTTATAAAGGATGACCAGAAGGACTTGGTGGCTATTTTTATTTGCTACAACAATTAAGGGATGAACTCCCCCTGCCAAAAGGCACTTTCTCTGTAAAGTCAGATGGAATCTCTCAGATGTTGTTTGGTTTCTTATCTCCATCCTCTTTTACTGAGGTTCATGATCATTATAGATTTAGAGCAGAGTCCTCTCAACTGCAGTTAATTTCAAAGAGGTCTGGCACCCTTGAAAGGCTTAGCACAGATGAGATACACAGTCATGTTCTAGCAAGATCCAAATAACTATCCTGAACAAGTCAGGAGAATAACATTTCCTGCCTTGCTTTCCAAAGACATTTGGCTTCTGGTCTGCTGAAAGCATTTGTTCTGACTAAGAAGCTCTTGCTTGCCTATGTATTTCTCAAATGATACTTTTTGTACACTGTGATCCCAAAGCCTTCCCTGGTTGCAAAACACACTCAGTTTCTGCATTGACCCCATGACTTACCCCGGAGAGAGTGTAACCATTCCCAAGCTGTGGTCTGTGCCCGTGTGGAGACTAGTGAAGTGGGGTGCAGCAAGGTAGCTCATAAGAAATGCTGCAGACTCTAAGGGCTTGGAAGTCACTGACATACAATTCCAAAATTATTTTCAGGGCCTAATTCTAATTGACTAATTTGTCCCTTGCTCTGATCATCGTTCAAAAATATTCAGAATGACATACTGATTTCTTTGTCTGTTCTATAAAAACACATGTACTTCAATTTGGATCTTTCTCTCTCCCAATCCCTACCTGCCCATTTATTTCTCTCCAGTTCCAAAGTAGCTCTTCTCATTGTCACACTATCAGCTCTTGCTTATTCTTCACTATTTGTACAGCTGACCAATAATGTTTTTCTGTGTTCAGCCACAAATGCAAATGAATAAAGTCTTACGACATTATTCTAAATAATAGGATAATATGTTATGTTTCATGGTTGTTTTGAGCTTTATATTACTTCACTCTTTTTACATATTTAAAAAGAAAAAACAAAACAAACCTCTTTCTATAGGGTCATAAAAAAATCCACTGTCATGAAGATTGTTGAAGACTGAGGGAATGAGATCAGCCAGGTAACGCTGAGCAAATGCCCGAGCTGCAATTTTCTCTGCAGTCTCTTTCTGTTTCCGCAGCTTTTCCAGGTGCTCCAGTCTGCGACGTTCCTGTCAAGGCAATTATGTGTGTAAACTTAGAGGCCTTCAGCTGTGACTCCTTTGATCTAGACTTTGAAGAATTAGCATAGTCTGTGTCCCATAAATAGCAAAGATAGTAAAAACTACAGATAATTATTATCTCT